CCGCCTCCCGCGCTATAAATTCGCGCAACCCTCTCCTCTCTCCATCTTTGATCTCGGGTGCAATGCTGCGCGAGCTATGCGCGAGAGTCCGCGGCGCCGAACAGGCTCGACGAGCCCAAGGACGGGCGGAGTGACGACGTGGGGTGGACCCGCGATAGTCTCGGGGCGAAGCAGTCGGAGGGACTGAGCAGTGGTGGGGATTGGACGCCGGCTGCAGCAGGGCCTTGTGGCTATGGCGGTCGGTGGTCTTGGGAAGTTTTGAAGGCTGCGCCTGGGGGCGGCAGCTAATTGAATTTTTTGTGTACAAGAAGGACTCACTTTTATCTCCATTGCTGCTTTGCCTATGCATGTCGTGTGTGTGAAGCCCCGAGTGATGGGAGCTGGTTGTGCACATGAGTGATGTCAAAGGTCCATGGATGATTAGATGTCTTGTCAAGGGTTGTTGATTGCATGCATGTATGTGTGTCTGTACTCGTCTAGGCGGGGATGGGGAAACTGAACTGGGGGACGGTTTGCTTAGGAGTACGAGTGTGTTGATCCGGTTGTTCCCCTTCCCTCCGCGGCCTTTTCTGCGCTCTCGCACGGTCTCGGCGTAACTCACTCTCTCTTTCTCCATTGCTTTCCTTTTTGAACTGATAGTCCTCATTTTTGGAGTTTTTCGCCCCCGTACCGGTGACGTCAACCGCTTGCGCCCGCGCGGACGGTCGACGCCCCCGCCAAGGGAGAGAGCTTAGACCTTGTCGTCTTCCCTCGACGCCCCCACCTGAAAGAGGGAAGAGTTGCGACGACTGTTGTATGGATTCGGTGTCGGTTCGGGTGACCGGGAATGCGGGACCTTGCCCGTGTTCGTCATGTACCTCCGATCGTCTCATCTCGCTACCGACCTTCCCCATCGCAGATGATGACAGCGTCTATTGCGATGCGGACGTACGGCGCGCGCTGAGGCGGACGGAGCAAGTGTGTTGGCAAGACCCGCCTCGAGCTTGTGAGATAAGGGGGAA